GTGAAGCAGATACCTTCTCTGGATGACATTTCCTTGGCCTATAGTAGCACTAAAGGAAGGTTGCAGTCATTTGTGATCAGGATGTGGCCTTCAACATGCACGTTAAACAAATACGCAGCACTGCTTTCTTTAATCTGGACAGTATCACTAAAAGTAGTGAAAAGAACGATGCTGAAAAGTGAATTCATGCATGTATTACTCCTAGGCTGAACTATATTATAAATTATAATTCAGTATTATCAGTTTGTTTTCAGATCTCTCTATAAAGCCTTCAGGTAGCAAAACGCTGCAGCAAGAGTACCGAAGAGAGTAACATCATTATCTTCCCTTTATTGGCTCCCTGTTGAATCCAGAATTGAACTTAAAATCTTTCAACTCACATACAAAGTCTCCAATAATTTGGCCACATCATATTTTGAAGACCTCATAGTATCACTTCATCCTAACAGAGCACTTCACTCTCAGACTGCAGGCTCACTTGTGGTTCCTAGAGCTGCTAATAGTTCTCAACTTGGATTGGAGGGGTCGACACTCTCCCTACTTTTAACATTAGGCTTAAAACTTTCCATTTTGACAATCTGATAGGGTTCGATCAGGTGACCCTGAACCATCCTCATCACACTACAGTCACACTGGGGCAAACACTGGTTGGGGACTGTGGTATGACCAAAATTATTATTGACAGTGTCCAATGGATGAGCAACCTCGTTGCCTTTGAAATCATTGCTTAGAACAGTGTTTCCCAAGAAATGATCAGGTCTGCCGTGGAAGATTATCTGGTTCCACCTGATTAGTACTCTAAGCGATCGGCGTGAGTAACGGGGAGAACAATTACATTCTCTTCCACCAGAGGGCAGTACAACTACCTGCTCTAATTAAATTGTGTTGCCAACTGCAGGTAAAACAGAAGAAGACAGAGAGGAAATTACATAATAGTCATGCTGTGAGGCGACACAGCGCGTAATAGCAATAGATAAATATGTGAAAAGGAAAAGTAGTCAGTCTGACCTGGTCCCGGAGAAAATTCCTAGCATGAGTAGTGGTCAGAAGAAGGCAACAAAGGTATACTGGGGACAAACCGAGCCAATTCTGCTGTGCCTGGTCTATGGGGAAAAATGATCATGCTTTTTGTGACATTTTTGTTTGGTGCTGTGCCACGTGATTTTTCTAATGTGAAATATGTGCCATGGCTCCAAAAGGTTGAGAAACAATGGCTTAAAAGACGGGGGCCAGTCCCGTGACCACCTGCAACCAGCTCTAGTCTTCAAAATGACTTTGGTGCATCAAAATGGCAAAAAATCAGCAATAATTGAGTCATACTGCCAATTACATGCAACGTGTTTGTGATAATGCAGCGATTAACCGTGTAAACCCGTCAAAAAGCTGCAAATCTGTTGCCATCTATGAAAAGAAACTCCTGAAGGAAGTTGCTGCAGAACGTCAAAATTACATAGACAGCTTTTATACAGCAATATAACCAGAACAGAACCAGTTGGAAACCAAAAGAGCTGATCCCCTTTCCACCTATCGCGATTATCGAGACACATTGCAGATGAGTTGTGCTCATCGGTGCAGTGTTGGAAACCTGTCTATGTTTATAAATTAAACATGAATTAATAGCACACCTTCATTAGTTTGCCTGAGAGTGATTACAGGCAGTCCAAGTCAGACCAAGCTTGTTTGGAGGCAGATTCCCCTCCACCACCAGGTGACCTATGCAACTGTCCTCCGGTTGAAAGCGGTCACACGGAAGTTGACGCTACTGCACACACAACACCAGGGCATCCAGTTTGTACCGCAGATGGCTGTCACTCCACGAGCCTGGTTCTGTCAGAGGCACTATCTTTCTGATAAAACAGAGCTGTTGTTTCTTCCCACTGTCACCAAGTGCTTGCTCATCTGATTTCTGGGGTTTTCTCTTTAATATTGTAAGGCCCTTACCTCACAGTATGAAGTGCCTTGAGGCTACTGTTGTAAATTCAATTGAATTTCATGCACGTAAAATTGTTACAGCACAAAAAACAGTGGCTCAAAAAACAGGAACTTTATCAGTAATCAGAGAGACTAAAGTCATTTAAAGAAGAGAGCCTAATATGCTTTGTAATATCTTTTACTAAGCATACTGTTGGATGTGAAGCCATACACAAACAGAAGGGGCTCCTCACAATGTAACAGTGTATCCAACCAAGAGTAACACATACTAATTTCTTCCTCTGATTAAAAGCAATCAAAACTATTACAGTGAAAAATATAATCTTAGCAGGCAGTAAACGGTTATGTTTCCACCAAGAACTCAGCAGGGTTTCCAATGTTTCACTGCTCTGCACTCAGGAATAAATGCACTATTTATGATAGATAAACGATGTGCACTCACTCCCCATGTGGCTGTGCTGATGGAGCAATGTGATATTTAGGAGGGAGTGTGGGAATGGATGAACAGAAAGGATAGACAGATGGAGATCAGAGGAGATTTAAACGGCTGCCATGGTATGGATAATCATCATCATTTAAGACACAGATGTTTGATCAATACGTGTGGTTTGAGTGTGGGGCAAAAGACAGGGAAAGGCACGAGTAAAGAACTGGGAAGGTGCGCGGTGAGCATCTATACTCGTTTGTAAAACACGGTGGAAAATGCATACAGAGAAATCAGATGTTGATCCACCATGTACAGTAATAACATCTGGAAAGCATCTGATTGGCAACAGCGTTATTTTCTTGCATGACAATGATGCCAAACACACAACAGAACGCTATCAGTCCTGGACTGGCCTCCCCAGAGCCTGCAGCTCAACATTACTGAAGCAGTGTGTGATCACCCAAAGAAGCCTTTTGAAGGCTGGAGAACGATTCCTAAAGTCTATTTAACACAGACTAAATAACGCTTGTGTAAGAGAATTCAGGCTGTTTCTGTCTGGCTTTACTTTATATGCTGTATTTCTGTGTATGTTTCCAAGTGTTTTAATCAGATGCTGCACTTCTTTCCCATTTTCCTAACAAATAATAATAATTATTCACATTATTCAATAATAATAATAATTTGCAGTTGTTTGCACACAAACCAATTATTCTAAACAAGTGTCAGAAGTCAGACGTCCTCTGTATATACTGGTAAGCCGCTACAGGCCCGGCCAAGGTTTAATATGTTCCATCGGTGATTAAGATTAGTGTAGTGCAATGATGTGACTGTTTTCATTTTATAAACTGATGGATGGAAAACATTAATTAAAAAGAAGACATGCAACAACACAAAACAACAACAACAAGTGAACATCTGGATATTAACAGCTGGAAAAAAAAACTGTTGAGAAACCAAAAACACTAAAGTAAAGACATGCATCTGTTTCTGGTTGTTTCGAATGTCTTTTATCTGCCCTGAAAGGAAATGTTGTTTGGAAACAGGAGATGTACACCTGTGATGATTTCCCTCTCACTGCCTTAGGTGGGGGCCCCAAGAAGTCAAAGGTAAAAAACAAAAAGTTGTTTACTTTGTTTACTCCTGTCACATCTGTGTGGTTGGCCAAAGCGTCTCACTGAAAGCTGTGTGCCTCCTTTAATTTATTCATTCACTTTTTGTTGACTTGTCTGGCTCATTAGGTCTTGAATTCACATAAGTGACCATGACAAATGAGCATAAATGTCTATTTACTTTTAAATATTTAATCAGTCTGATCCTACGTGAGTTGTCCCTACAGTGTACAAATTCAGGTGATAGCTTTGTATAAAATGCAAATAGATTCATTGTCCTACCAAACTTCACTGGGAATCTAAGGAGCTTGGAGAGAAAAGCGTCTGGACTTCTTTAAGTTTCTTGAAGATGTTTCCCCTCTCATCCGAGAAGCTTCTTCAGTTCTAAGATCAACTGGTGGAGAGTCCCAGATTTTAAGCCCTATGGGAGGGTCCCCAAGAGTGTCATGGACCCCCTATTGATCCTCTACCTAATCACATGTGAAAACGGGTGTGGGTCACAATCAGCCGCGGTTTCGGGTGAACCAACTGTGAAACCTACCCCCCTATCATGTGATTTACTGAGGTCAAATGGCCCAGGATGTGAGTGAGCGTTAAGGCGTCTGGGAAGGAAACTGGATTGTAAGCCGCCGCCTCTGTTCAAAGATGGTTGTTCACAGTGGACATAGACGCTTCTTTCACTCTTCTTTCAAACCATCTCTCTTCTCTGTCCAAAATGTGAACGTTGGAATCCTCGAAGGAGTAGTGCTGGGACTGTACTTCAGTGTACTGAAGAAGCTTCTCGGATGAGAGGTCTTCAAGCAACTTAAAGAAGTCCAGATGCTTTTCTTTCCAAGCTCCTTAGACTTCAGTGTACTTCCCAGTGTACTTCAGACCCAGCCATACACTCAGACAAAAACCAGTTCATCCAAAAGACAAAAAAAAAGCAAACTTAATGTATGCTGTACAGTGTCTACATTGGAGAGACCAAAGAGCCACTTCATGAACGCATGGCACAACATACAAGAGCCACCTCAACTGGACAAGACTCGGATGTTGCATCTTAAGGATAAAGGTCACTCCTTTGAGGATGCCAACGTTCACATTTTGGACAGAGAAGACAGATGGTCATGACTCTCCACCATTTGCTCTTAGAACTGAAGAAACTTCTTGGACGAGAGATGAAACATCTTAAAGAAAGTCCAGACGCTTTTCTTTCCAAGCTCTTTAGACTACGATGAATTCACACATGGCTACAGAAACAAATTATGTTAACTGTTACTTTTGTTGCTTTTACCTCTTTTCAAAAAGTGTCTGTTGCATAGGTATCATTATAGCAAGAGAAAGTGCATGTCATAAGAGCAGTGGGTGGATAAAGAAAATGCCTGCAGTTGCTACAGGATAAAGAGTAGAGCAGAATCTGAAACTGTTCATGAAGCGAGAAGGTAAAATAAAATTGCTTTCCACACAACAAAGCCAAACCCAAACTCACAACCTGCTATGAAAAATTCTGAAAGTGAGGAAAAGTGATGACTCCATCTTCCTGCACTCACCTCCAGACGTAAGTATTCACTTTGCTCCTTTGAGATCAGACTGAAAAGGACACTGCTGTGTTTACGGGTTCGAACCAGGACTTGGATCCATGTCCTCCGGGCAGGCAGCGGGGACGCCAACTGGTAACGCACGTGACTGTGGCCATCAAAGGAGTACTCTGGGACCTCTGGTGTTGGTGGATACAAACACATAACCACACACAGAGGTCAGCCACATAGTGCTACGTTTAAACAGGATTTCAAGTGCAAAACATAATTCTTAGACAGTCTGGATGCTGCTTTCCTCCACAGAGAAGACACCACAAGTCACTTCAGCTAAATCAGTTTTAAAAAGTCCGGTGCTGGGGACAGAAAGACTATGTTAAATGCACAAGATAGAATATGCATGTTTGGTTTAGCTTGGGTTCTTCTGTCTAAGAGTTTGAAGTTTTCACAGAAGTGTTTTTTGTGCATGCCTCTCAGAATAAACCAAGCACACCTAAAACTCTCAAAGCCATTCTTCCATCTCACGGCGTACGCAAGTGAAATTTTCTTCTATCGCTTTCACACCTCTTCCTTTTCTTTGTCTCCTTCCCTTGTAACTTTGACAAAGTCGAGTGGTTCATGAGAGCTCACTTGAAGGCAATATCAAATCAATTTTTTTTTTTGGGGGGGGTGCTTCTAGGCATGGAATATGCAGCTGATCAGCCATGTCCTCTTGAAGTTCCCAAAACTCCATCTCAAATTTTACTTTGCCTCTCACGGCCACAGGCTGATTATATAAAAACATAACAACACCATCAATTTTACACCAACAGTCTCACGTTATTCAACGATGGCTTGTCAAATACACAAAATACTTTGAAGTAGAAGTGGGGGTATTTGTTTTCCTTTCCTCTTCTTTTTTATTTTCCATGTAGACTCCAACAGAGTAAAGGGCAAATATTTAAATTAAAGAGTGAAAGAATAAATAGTGAATTTTGCAAGTTTTTGTTTTACAAGATGAGAGTGACTCACTATCATTTGTTCAGTTCAGTTAATACTGCATCACATTGCAGTTTTATTCCAAAAAAAAGAGACTTCCTTGTAATTTTCTTACTTTGCAAAGCAATCCACCGGGGTAAATTGGAACTGGGCTGCATGTTAAACACAGATGGTTTAATCTGTTAACGACCGGAGCGCTATTTGTCATATAAGACATAACAGAAGAAAAGAACCATTTGTACAGACTGCACACCAAATCTTGACCTGTTACGATTTCAGATTCTACATTCGAGTCGTGTCTGAGTCTCACTGTGAAATAGGAGGCAGAAACCAAACAAGACCGTAAAGCCTGGACTAGTGTGCTGCGATCAGCAGAAAGCATGACTGAAGGTGTCCTCCTCAACTCCAAGGATGTGTGCGAGAGGCCACGTAGGACCAGAGCCATTAAAGAGCCAATCTCAGTCCAATAAAAGTCTGCAATAAGCCAATTGTCTCCACAACCACACGACCAGCACAGAGAGGCTCAGAAGAAGCCATCTTCTTTAGGCCAAGGGGCAGGGTAGGTTGCTTGGTGAGTAAAACAAAAATTACACTGCAGTGTACTTCTGAGATTGGAAACTGATGGAGTGCCGTTAGTGTCTTCTTGAGTCATCCTTGCCTGCATTTATATATCTGCGATACACTTGGAGCATTGTCATGGTTAGTTGGCGATGTCCCGGGTATCGCTTCACAAAGCTACTTACACCCCATTATTCAATTTGTTTATTTTAAACCCTAAAAGTCAAGGCAGCGCATCCTAATTTTTATGGAAGAATTCATAGACGCTGCCAATGAGTGACAGCAGTGAGGTCTGGTAGTCTCAGGATCTCGTCTCTACTTTTTGCAGATGGTGTGACCCTGCTGGGTTTATTCAGTAGTGACCTCCAGCTCAGCCTGGGACAATTTGCTGTGCCGAGTGTAGTCGGACTAAGAATCGGGAACTACAAGTTTGAGGCTGTGGTTCTCAGACAGAAAAGGGTTAACTGCCTACTTCAGGTTAAGGATTAGTTGACACATTAAGTGGAGGAGTTCAAGTATATCAGGGTCTTGCTCACAAGTGAGAGTGGAGTAAAGCAGAGCAGGAGATTAACAGATGCTTTGGCACGCTGTTCATTACGGTGAAGAGAAAGCTGAGTGTGAAGCTAAAGCTGTCGATTTACTTGTTGACTTTCTGACCCTCACCTAAAGCCACAGGCTGCTGGGAGTGACTGAAAGAATAAGAACAACATACAAGAGAGCAGGCAGACCTCATTCTGATAGGTGTCTGGGTTGAACCGTAAAGTTAGGGTCAAGAGCTCAGTCATTCAGGAGGTGATATAGGGATCTCCCCAGGATGCCTCCTGGATTACAGATGTGTTTCGGGCATGTCTAACTTAAAGGGGCCCACAGGACATGTTGGAGAGAGATTATGTTTCTCAGCTGGTCTTATGTCCCTCTTAAATAGAGTTGTTCCTTCCCACTGTCTCAAGTGCTTGATAAAAGGGGGTCACTTGATAGTTGGAGTCTCTCTCTGCTATTTTAGGCTCTTTACCTTACAATATAAAGTATCTTCAGGAGACTGTTGTGATTTGGTGCTGTGCAAATAAAACTGAAATGAACTGAATGCCACTAAAACTATTTTAAAACATTAACTTCTGGCATTTCCAGGTGAATAAAGTTGGGTTATTTTCCACAGTTGCGCTTTCACACATGCAACACGCAGCAGGAAATAGTCCGCTTTCACATGTGTTCAGACATCTAGAAATGTGATGTGTCGTGGCGCTGCCAGGATGCAGCATGTGGTAGGTGCCACACATCATACCCACTTGTTAGTGTTAATTGCACAGCACACACACAGGCACAAACTTACATTAACACAAACCTTGTATACGGGAGTTGGAAGGTTAAAGAAAACGTCTAGCCTGGATGTATTTGTTCACATATCCAGCTCCCCTGGATAGCTCTTGGAAAAGTTCAGGGCTGCTTGTGTGAAAACAGCTTAACTGAAGTGCTCCATGTTTGTATTTGCATCCTCAGCTAATTTATTAAATGCTTTGGTTCACCCTCAGCTGCTGCGTCCTTTGCCATAGTTGTTGTGGCCTTGGAGCCACACAGCTTTTATTCTGTTTTACAGTCTAGGTTACCCGGTAACAAAACAGGGGGTTCTCGTCAACAATATTTATGGGAATGTTAACCGTAAAATTTCTGACAGCCATGTTTACTATAGCCTTGAAGACCAAAACATTACACTGAAAATAAAGCTGCTCAGGATCCCTTGAAGCTGTTGGAGGAAACAGCCTGTACCATGTGACACAGCTGAAGTGATAAGCTGGGAAGGACGTGTGCATTTTAGCATTTAGAGCGATTTTGTGATAGCACAAACTCCTTGTCCGACAATCACCAAATATGTGTTCGTTTCACATACTGTAATCTGACATAGTCAACAGGGAGTAAATGATCTTTGAGGCCACATGGATGATTTTCTTTTCTTTTTAATGTTACTGTCAAGAACAACATTTTATTGCATAATGTAAAACAAAAATAATAAAAAATTGGCATACCTTCTTCACACTGGTGTCCTGTGTATCCGGGTATACACTGGCAGCTGAAGGAGCCCCACTCACCGTGACAGCGACCCCGGTGGCCACAGGATGGATAGCCCATGTTGACACAGCTGCTATCTGTGGTCAGGCAGCCTGGAGAGCTGGACTGCGAGTCGGCCGGGGAGCCCAAATCATACAGCTGAATGGAAGAGATACAGGGGAGGAGATGGGAGGATTAGTAAATTTAGAGAAGGTAAAGTTGAAGAAAGGAGAAACTGGATATAAAGTGAAATTGGAAAAATATAAACAAAGTAAAACAACAAGAAAGCAAGAAGGAAAACGAGGCGGAAATAGGAGGGAAGAAAAAGTGGAAAAGTTGAGATGCGAGGAAGGCAATAGGGAGAGGTGCCAAGAAGTAAGTAGCTTACATACAGAAGGCAAAAAGGCAAAGTGACAGCAGAGAAAATGGGATTAGGGAAGACACGGGACAGACGTATAAGGGGGTCAGCAGCCAGAGGGAGAGTCGGAATATTCGAAAGAGGTAAGTAAAGTCAAAGAGAATGAAAATGAATCGATTGAGGAAGAAAACTCTAAAATACACTGAAAGACATAAACTCAGACAGTCTCTTTCTTTAAATTGTCATCTCTCTGTCTCTCAGAGTCTCTCGTTACAATGATGAAACCAAACTCTTGACCAGAGAAACAGCATGACCACCTACAGGGAGAGCTGAAAGGACAGAGGAACCTTGAACGCTTACAATCGGATGTCATAAAATACATTAATATGTTCAGTCACCTCCCTGCCAGGACCAAACTTTATGAGTGTTTGTGCTGCAGAGAGGATGCAGGAATGTGAAAGATTGTAAAGTGAAATGAATCATGCCATCAGGGAGCTGCTGATTGGTTCTGACCTCCAGCAAAGAGGGCTCTTATTGGTTGTTGACCTTTAAATGCTACAGCTCCACAATTTTCTGGGGTTGAGCTGATCATGTTGATCGCCAAGGACTGAAAGACAAACATGTGCATTCTAAAGCAGAAAGACATATTGGCGTGTCTGCCATTGATTCGACTGAGCATCGGTGTCGCTCCAGTATGTGTGCATGCGTGTGTCTCTGAGCACAGCACTGGCTGATACATGAGCTCAGCTCAAAAATACAGCTGCTTCTTCATGAATAACAAATTACGGCTTGAGCTGAAAACAGTGTCACACCCCCACAAAGAGACGCAGCAGGATGCCATATTTGCCACGATTAATTTCAGGTGTTGCGTATAAAAATGTACACAAAGTGAAAATACATTCTAAATGAAAAAGCATGCAGCTGGAGTGTGCCGTGCAAAGAGTGAAGTTTCACCCAAAATGTCTGAACCTTGAAGCACTTCAGTCACACCTTGGAGGAAGTGATAATGAAGATGGCTGACAATGACATGCAGAAGTCAGGCATAATGTCACCTAAACAGCATGAAATGAGTCTTTATAAGTATTGAATTCAAATTTACAACATGTGGTAAGATGATGTCGTTTCATATCGTTAAAAATTCTTTTTTTTTATTATTCGCCATTTTATTTCACTCCCTCACTTGTCTGAAAGAAGATATTTTAGCTGCTTTAAATTGCTCCCAGTGTCCATGCCTGCCAAAAGCAAAATGCAATGCAATACAAGGCAATATCTAGACTATGATTTCCTAAAAACATACAGAACTTTTTTTGCTGAATATATATTTTGGTGAAATGAGAAAACATCATCTGTCCACAGTGTTCTGTAACTTCTGTTATGAGGTAAACTTTTTGCTGAGAAACTCTGTAAATCAAGTTTCGAATCATAGCTAGTAGCACTCAAAAAGCTATTAGTCAGTGTGCTGTAACTGCACACCTCCCTACTTAACAATGTAGTGACAGATATGTCAAAAGCACAGAAAACCTTAAAGCTGTAATGCTACTCTGAGAGCTGAAGGGAGAAAGGAAAGCAGAATAATGATAAGACGAGGATGGAGAAAGTGGAAAACGGACAAAGGTGAGTGACAGCAGGGGTAAGAGAGGCAGAGAGGTAGCTCCAGAATAGAAGCATAGTAAAAGGAAATCATTTCCTGTCTTTTTACCTGGATGCAACCTCACTATTACCACCGGGCTTACTCCAGTCTCATTTATCCTTTTAATTCATTCACCTTTTCCTGTTTAGGTTACATGCAGCCATGCACCACACTTCACTGGTTTTAATTAAGACAACATGGTATGCAGTGTTAATTTAGTCAATGGGAACTGCGATGAGAATTTTTCAAGCCAAAAACTTACTTAAATTTGTACCTTTGTACTGGTAGATTTTCATACTAAAACTATCATAAAAAATGTTCAAGACATGAGAATGAACCACGTTTGCTTTGCTCAGCGGCCTTGCAGATTCTGTGGAAAAATTCAGCAGCTTCTGAATAGTTTTTTCTGCCTCCCAAAATCTCTCTACTGGTTTACTAGCTTGGTTTCATAAGAAGCTCCTTACTTTCAGTAACACTGTGTCTGTTAGCAATGTGAGAGTTTTATACATATGAACTAAACCTGTGTGCACATTACCGCAGACTGTAGCTAACATACATATAGGCAGGCAAGATGTTCTTTAGATTTTCCCAAAATACTGAAGAATACATCAACCCATCTACTCAAACTAAACCCAGACAGGATTTTAGAGAACAACTGAAAGAATGATGTTATGGATGAGCTGCTACTCTTCAGTAGAAATAACTGTGCAGCTTTGGCAAAGCTAATGCTAATGCTAATGCTAGCTGACCATGGACAACTGTGATTTTGTTCCAATTAAGGATTGACTGATTAGCCAATTCCAGGTTGCAGGCAGGTGTTTTTGGAATAAAGTGTTATTTCTGTAAATACATTATTAATTTCTCTAAATAAATAACTTATAAAGGACAATTAGTATATAGTTCCTGATGCTGTCTTCACTCCGCCTGTGTACAAAGATTCAAACATGCAGCTCTGCTTTTCTGTATGAGCAATTAGCCTTATAGCGGGTGGATACAGAGGAAAATGGTGACGTGATCTTACAGCTTTGAGGACTGGAGGTACAGACATTACTTTTATTTTTATTTAATGAATGGGCAAGAGCACAATGGTGAAATGCAACTGCATCCAAAACGGAAACAATAATGGTAAATGACCTGTATTTGTATATCGCTTTTCTAGTCCCTAAGGACCCCAAAGCGTTTTACACATCCAGTCATCCACCCATTCACACACATTCACACACTGGTGATGGCAGCTACATTGTAGCCACAGCCACCCTGGGGCGCACTGACAGAGGCGAGGTTGCCGGACACTGGCGCCCCTGCCAGTGTGGCGCTCTGACCACCACCAGTAGGCAACGGGTGAAGTGTCTTGCCCAAGGACACAACGACCGAGACTGTCCAAGCCGGGGCTCGAACCGGCAACCTTCTGATTACAATGCGAACTCCCAACTCTTGAGCTACGATTGCCCCAATAATATGCTGCTAACACAACATCAGCTCTCTGTAAACATCTGTGCAGACAGTATGCCAACGCTGAGCTAACACAAGTGACGTTAAAGCTACTGAGACACCAAATTTTAATAGGTGAGCAGTCAGGCCTGTAGCGCTGTAGCCTTCACTTCACTGTGGCAATTGCATTTACTGTCTTTGGGCTGTTTTTCTTAATCCCTGCTTTGTGTTGTTAGTTTTGGATTCGTACATAAAAACTAAAAGTCATGATAACGTTGCTTTTGTTCACATCGTGCCGCGGCAGTGAGCTCGTCTGTGATTCCCACCCATACTGCCGGTGAGGAGGACATATCAACATCAGCTACCTTTTTACCTCATCGACAGGCACTCACACCCATGCAGAAACAGATGATGTTGCTATAGCAACAAACATGACACACTGGAGCATTTTTGCAAGGAAAGGAACAACAACACCAGAGGAAAAGGAAAAAAATAAAAATCATACAATGCCGGAACATGTCCATCAACATTATTAATCATCAGCACGCCTACTGTTGCATGCTTTTGGGGATTTATTATACTCATGTCCGCCCACACACATCATGCAGATTCCTCTCATTAGTACACAGTGTTTGTGCAGCCTCCTGCTACATCCCTGGCTAAGGTAAACCACACTAACTCCAAGCCTTCAGCACTGCAGAAAGACAGACTTATATCCTTTAATATCGCCGCTCTTGAGATTCAACATCTTAACAGAGCTTTCAAATTGTCTACTGAATGGATACAAATAAATTGTGTTTATAGAGACAACAGTTCTAAAAGCCACCCCTAGAGGCCTCGTGGCTCCTCACACCTTACCGGAGTGCTGAACGAAAGGATGTTTGAATTGACTGGCCAAGGTTGTTTTTCATTTAAACATAAGTGTGCAGAATAATAACTGCTCTTTCCCACAAAACACCTGGGTTATTACTTAGCAACACACAGACACACCTGCATACACAGAAATACCTTATTAGCAGACTGAAGAGGAGTCCTTAGAATATGAGTGGACCACAAGAAAAAGGAAGGAAACACACACACACACACACACACACACACACACACACACACACACACACACACACACACACACACACACACACACACACACACACACACACACACTAAATGATGGAAACTTGTCAGTTGCACAGTTTTATGTGTTTAAAACTTCTGGATCATGACTGTTTTTTTTAGCAAACAACCAATTACTATTTAATGCTGGAAACAGAGGATGTGTCTGTAGGACACCGAGAGAGCGACATATGCCTGGTAATGAACCCGTTTGTGCTGACACTGACCTCATTAAACGGAACATGTATTGGACTAAAGTGACAGAGAGGTTGTGTAGTAGTTGGCTCATGATATTAGGCTCACATTATTGACTGTTTTTATTGGTTGGCTGGTCGGGCTAATCAATTAACTCAGCGGTCCTAGCGCATTAAATGCTCATGTGTACCCGGCTGAAGGCAAGCCACAAATAACCCACTCTGAGCCAGCTTTCAGTGTTTTCCCGGTCTTCACTACTTCTATACACACACACACACACACACACACACACACACGCACACACACGCACATTAGAGAGTGACCATAATCCAGACAATGATGAACAGCAGTCTCACAGTAATTCTCTCAACACTGAGCCATATAATATACTCTGTTATGACTAGTGAAATATAATTTCATAAATTATTTAGAATATAATCTTAAACTGTACAAACCAATCTCCGTTTTATACCTAGAAATATGATCTCCTCCACGTCCATTATGTGGGGCTCATGTGCTTTAACTCTAAGAAAGAAATCCATCATACGCAGTGCTGGCATAATGCGATGGAAGCGGAATCAGCAGGAGAAAAACTATTTTGCTCATCTGCATTTAAAAGCATACCAGGCCTGTCCACATAAATTTCCTGTGATGTTTTTTTAATAAAAGTGTGCATTTAGTCAAAATCTTCCACTCCAACATTTGAATAACTTCCCTGAAATGGTCCAGCAAAAATACGCTACTACCCGTTGTTCACTTCTCTCACTTAATTTAAATTAGTAGCTGCAGCTAGGGTTGCCAACCGTCCCTTAAAATACGGAATCGTCCCGTATTTCGAAACAAAAGTACACGTCCCGTATTGAGCTAATAAGGGACGCACTTTGTCCTGTAATACAGTGAGAATCAAAAGTAGTCTATAAATGTTAATGGAATCAACGCTTTGTTTGAAAACATAATTCCCAGCCCCTCTCCTGCTTTGTGACCAATGAGCTGACAGCACACTTATGACAATTCGAGTATGACAATTCAGATTACCGCTCATCTCATTGGTCGAGGAAAGGTCGCTTACGGAAAAAATACAACCGATGACCACAACAACAAGCATGGCCAACAGGGGAACAAACGCTGACACTGCGGTGCAAGTCTCGGACGACAGTACACCTAAAGCTGGGCAGACACTGTGCGATTTTCAGTCACGTTATTCAGCTCCTGCTCAAACTGCACGATTGACTCGCAGGGGTTAGACGTTGGTAGGTCACGATGCAGGTCTCACACTATACCGCCCGATGCTCTGATGCGACCTGAGTGCTCACACTGTGCCTCCATAAAATGAAGGTTATAACAGAAAATCTGTCGCTCTCCCTCTGTCTTTCACTCACACAGACACACCACCACCATCAACTTTGCTAAATTGCTAATGAAAAACATGATCAGGCAGCTGTGAATGAGCAGCAGTGTAGATCCAACTATTTTCACGGTTGTTGTGGTCGTGATAATTTTGTGATGCCACATCGAAAAGGCTCGGATGAGCTTTCCAAAGTTCTACAAGTTGTGCCTCCATCGCTTGTGTCCAGATCACACGCTGCACTGCCGTGCTGCGCCGTCTTTTTCACCGACGTTTACGTGTTTGCGCGTGAGCAGTGTGAGCGGCTCACGAGCGATTGATGATCGGGAGCTGCTCGAGGTGTTAATCGCTTCTCGTTACCCCACGTATACTACACGATGCACGATGAAGGCCAAAATCGGGCCGATCACCAAATCGGTCGCACGACTCAAAAATCGGCTCAAAATGGGCCAAAAATCGCACAGTGTAAGCCCAGCATTAGAGCAGCAATGTTTGTTCGCTCAGAGAAAGAAAAATAGGCTGCAAAAGTACTGGGAGGAATGGGAAAAGGGAAACACCTGGCTGGGAAAATACACCATAACACCTTTAAAGCGCACTGCACTGTGTGCCGGCGCACTTTTTCCATAGGCATGCTTCTAGTGGTGGGCACATGAAGAACATGAGGGGCGTGAAAGCTCGGGGAACCCTTAACCAATTTCTTGTCCACCAGGCCACGGCAGAAGCAGATATGGTATGTAAACACTGGTTTGTTGTTTAAACCCTCTGGTTAAGGTTAATATGGGCATGTGCAGTGAATATCAGCACTATGTGGCCAGAAGTGTGATAATATAACTTATTTTGTGTAATAAACAACTGCAAGGATAGATGATTACAACAAATAGATCACTAATACATAAAAGTAATACATAGATGAATAATGATGATGAGTTATGATGCGTAATCATGGGAACAAGTGGGTTTACAAACCTGATTAGCTTTAGAAAAGCTGAAATAATACCTCAACTGAAGCCAGTTGTACTAAATGCACTAAATGTGCACAGTTACAAGAATGATTTTGTTCTATTGTTTTCTATTAATTTATATAATTTTAAGTTAAGTAGGACAGAGTTCTTTTAAAGAAAGATTTACTTATATTCTCAAAAGTTAAGCATGACAGGCTTCTGTTTAAGAAAGAGACCTGTTTTACTGTGTTAATGTTGTCATTTTGAGCTAAAAATAAACGGCTAAATGATCATTTGTTTCCCATATGGTCATATCACAAAGAATATGCATCTGCTTAAATCAAATTCAAGTCAAATGGTTAAAAAATAATTTCACACACAAAAAAAAAGAGCTACCACACTGGGAAGGGTGAAGACAACTGGGTTGCCCGGCCCTTGCCACGAGGTGTCCCTTATTTATTTTTCAGGGAGTTGGCAACCCTAGCTGCAGCAGATTGCAACATGCAGTCAAAACAGAACTGGGTGATTTTATTTGATTTTAAAAACACTGTTGGCTTCCAGCAATCATGAAAAAAGATAAAAAGGATAATTGGAATAAAGAAATTACTATTTCCTTTGTTTTTAAAGTGAGTCTTTCCTTTTGTCCAAACGGTAACCTCTGACGCACACGCCAAAGTGCCACAACTGCAAAGTTCCCCTAATGGACATTGAAACTGCCTACAAAAGTGAGTCTACCTGCAGACTTCCCTGTTACAAAGCTATGATTTGATTGGCTGCTATAGGTGAATGGCTATTTTTAGGGATTGCTTCTCTTTACTGGAGTCACTGAACTGACTGAGAGCTATCTGACACATAACATGGCTGTCTGTCTGTGTGATGCAGCTTGCTAACTGCACTAGCTACATTAGCTAGCTGCACTAGCTACGTTAGCCAGCAACCATAGCTACCGTATTATCTAAATATGGTAACATCTGACCACTAACAAGGTGGCAGCCGACACCCTCACATTATTGCATACCCCAGAAACCAATATGAGAGAACAAGTTGCCTATGTAAATCTTTTATACAATGTTAGAAATCAAGTGCACACCTTTTCTTTACAGCTTTACCTCCACTAACCCCAAACTCAATCCAAGTTAGCTTCACCTCCAGGAAAGATGATGAAAGGTCTGCTACCAACAAAATCTATACAGAGGAAGTTTAACTGTGGTGGTTATTAACAGATGCCTCTAGTTGTGCTCGTCTCTGGATCAGTTTGGCCCACCTCCTTCCAGCAGGGCGCAACGAAGATGTCGGTTGGTGTTAAGAGTTTAGTTGCTCACCCTTTGAATACAACACAGGCCTCCCAAGGTAAACAAGCCATCTACAACCTGGGGCACCCTTCAGCACCTGAAGACATGCCATGATAGAGATGGACTAGCACTACCCAACAGTTGCACATGTGAGACACACTCCACAATCCTTGTCTGCACCACCCTACCCAAGTATCCTATGCCCCCTGTTACCTTCAGATATTAAGACAATATTGCCCAAAATTCTGATGACATTTTTCCACCAGATTGAAAACACATCTAACTGTGGAGGACAGTTTAAACGAAGTCTGAATCATAAATGCCACTATTGAACAGATGCAGAGTGAGAATGTGACATTATCACAAGCAGCGAGTAACAAAGGTAATTTAAAAAAGTTTAATAGGTAACACATAACCTATTTGGAGCTGAAAGTCAAACATCTTCCAAGCAGACCCATTTAATTTCTAATTTTCTGCCATGTGAGTTTTGATTATCAGGGAACCCACATCTCACACATTCTTTGGCAATCCAGTCTGAAAAGCCTGACATTTATGTCTAAATACCAGTTAAAGCAGCCGAGGCTCAGCAGTTTTAGATGGACAGGAGCAAAATTTAGCAGTCACAGCTTTATTTGATTCATAACCAAAAATTGTAGCAAAACGTGCAATTTTAACCAAAATTTCAGGCTTCAGAAGACTGCAGGTTCACACGAGGCTATCATAAGAGAAGCCTGTGTTCATACAGAAATGATTTGGATTTTGTTGGGGCTGGGCTCAGATTGTCATGGCTGAGTATAGAGTCCTTGACTTTTTAACTCCGGCAGAGCTGGTTACTTGAAAGTCTCGATTTGATGTCAGACTGGGTAGGAGGGGAAAGGTTCATATTCCATTTCACTCTTAAAGTGCATGTGTGTAACATTTGAAATTTCTTTGAGATTACAGTTAAAAGCATAAAAACCCATCTCTCACATGGCACAAGGGGACTGTGAATGTCGAAGCCTGTTATTAATCCATTTATCAGCTGGAGTGCAGGTGTGAGTTTAACTTTGCTTACATACTGGTGTGCTAATGGTTGTGTGGTTATGTATGGGTGTGCGTGCGTGCCATTGTATTATAAAGTGTGTTACCTTGCTGTCCACGATGAGGTTACGGACGCAGCCGGTGAAGTGTTTGTGCTGAAGCTGGGGGTAGATGTATGGGATGTCCTCGTTCACACCGCCGAGCTGAAGCACCTGACTCATGTTCAGGTGTCTAAAACACACAGCGTGACAGAAGCATTCAAAAAGCAAGGAAGGATGAAACAGAAAACTATAAGACTTTGCAGCAATGAGAAGAACCTGCTGCTTTAGCACTTAACAGTCTTATTTTAATCAGCCGTTTGCAGTTCAAAATAGGAAATCGAACATGTTATCAGCAAACAAAATCTGCTGGTTCATTCTGCTAAGTCGCCTAATTAAAATGTGGCGTAAATCTTCTTTTTACTTTTCTGGATGCCCCTTATTTTCTTTTTCTGTCTCTTTATGAAAGAGAAGTTGCTGCTCTAAAACAACAACAACAATCTTATTCTCCATCTCTGATTGTCGGTGTTGTCACGAGTATCCACAGTCTGTGGAAGAATCTCAGAGGATAGACATTCGTTGTCCAGCAGCAAGAGTATTTTTCATCTAAGTTAATGTTTTTGGGGCTACAACCCCGTCCAAACAGCAGGCAGACGCAGGGGAATGGCAACAATCATTTGGTAAACATAGAACGCTGATAAGAGCACTACAATTACAGCCAAACAGTAAAATTAGTTGTTAATATTAATACCATACTTCGATGGTCTATGGGGCTGCAACGCTAACTGCAAAACTTTGGACAGTTCTTTACATTTGCAGTTCCTTAAATCAGCGGTCCCCAACCCTCAGGCCACGGACTGATCCCAGGCCACGAGAGCTGAGGTTCGGGTGTGAAATTTATGGTTTTCAGGGTTTTTATCGTTAACTCGGTTTCTCTGGGTGTTTTCCCGTGTTGTAGTTGTGTCTTTTTAAAAAAATATTTAATATTTTTAAAGAAATATTTACGCGTTACCATAGCGACCAGAGAGCATTAAGGGGCAGAGAGGAGGATGTTACTCTCAATGTTGTTGCCGCATTTCAGGATGACGCTGCTAATAAAGTGAATTCACGTTTATTATTATATTTACAAAATACCACAATTTTTGTCTTGGTCGTATCATTTTATTTTGTTATATTTATCGCCGACACCTTAAAGGTGAAAATATTGTCTGACATTAAACTGGTCTGTGGCACAAAAAAGGTCTGTGGCTTAAATGTATATATGCATACGACATCCCATATAAACAATGGGATGTCGCATTTTCTTAAATGTAAATGTTGTAGATTTTGTGACACTGAGCCAAATAGTTTTGAATAATTATCATTTTTACAATTACAATAAAGCTTACTGGTAGATTTTCATAGTTTTTATCATGAAACAAATATGTTTTTGTTTTTTTAATCACATGTTCTGTATATAAACTCATAAAAGACAACACAAACAGTTTCTATTAAATCTGGTGTATAATTTCTTTTTGGGTTAAATTCGTTGTTACTTTTGCAAAAATAATTCTGAGGTTTTATGGCAAAGAGAGAGCATACAGTCTCATCCGGCTATACGTTCATTTTACAGCGTAATATTTAGTTCTCATTATAAAATAAATGACCAACGCAGCTGTAACTTTCACCATGCAAAGTGACAAGACTTAAAGAAACTGCAAATGTTTGTGATTTAGCTTTTTCTTCGGTGGAGACGGTCACCCAGCACTAACAACCAACCACTGCTGGAGAGCATTCAGAAGTAGAATCAAGCCACCATGAAAGCAGCAGAATCGAACTTTGAAGGACACTTTTTCTTTTTTGCAGTCTTGTTGAAAAATGGTAGCCTGCTAACACATGGGCCAAATTACAAGCAAACCAAGTCTGAGGCAGTGAGAAAGTCTGTGGTGTGCACGCATCTGTTCAGGTGCTTCTTTTTACCTGTCGGTGTTAGGCGTAACACCCATCACTTCACAGGAAGAGTGGTCTTGAGAGGTCAACCAGCTACCCACCAGTTCCTTCACCGCTGCCCCTGAGCATCGATCCAGGGTGAAACGTACTTCCTGCAGAGAAAACAAACCAGCGCACGATGTACTCAAATAATGCTTCAATAAATCACAAATAAGTCATTTCTCTGAACTGTAACGAGCGTACTTTCAGCATTATTACCATGGTGAGAACGGCATCTGACTCATATTTCTTTCATTAGTGCATGCTGCACTGCTCTGCTGCATGACAACTTAAACATGTGGACTTGCCTTAACAAGAATGCGATTAAGCAGAAGCCACAGCAGCTTATTCCAGTTAACTAGACTCTTTATTCCATCTGCTGTTTACCTCTCAGTAAACATGCCTCCTCCTTCCTGTGGTAATTAGTAAAGTTTTAACCCAAACACACAGCTACCCGATGGCTCACATCACAGGAAAAAAAAGAATAAAGCATGTAAGAGGGCTGAAAATAATTTTGGGGGGAAATCTGGTCCATTGCCTTAACCTTCCAAAAAAGTTGGCGCTGAAATCATTATAATTACTCGGCTGGATAAAAAGCCCGTATGTGCCAGCACAGTTTCAGTCATCAGTGTGCTAAAACAACACCTTTAACTTACTTTTCACACATCCACGATAAAAGCTTTCAGACATACGTCAGGAACACACAGAAAAAATGTCATTATGCTTGGTAATACCAATTCTATTTTCTGTCAGATATTGAAAGTTATAAATCAGTTAAAAGAAGAATACTCTGTGATTTGGATAACACTCACTACAGATGATTAACAAACACACCAGGCAGCATAGAACAGCATTTATGTGTTGTTTTGTTTCTACACCTGCTGGTATCACCTCTGTGTGAAAACAGATTCCAAATATGATGCCTACATCATTCATTCGAGTATGATTTTGGCACGTTTTTTCTCATATTTACATCATTAATAATAATAATGATAATTTCACTTTAAAACAGGGTTTACATGCAGCGATAAAGTAACGTAAACAGTACGTGTTTGCATGATTAAACATGAATACAAACTCTGTATCAACAGCTAACGCTGCAGATTTTATGTAAATAATTTATTTTAGTTTAATCAAGTCATGTTCCTGTTAGCAGACCGTGGTTTACTTATTTATCAATGTGATTCTTAATGAAGGACAGCGAAACAATGGTTCTTTGGATCTATCATTTTCACAAATGTTACTTAATTTGAAGAAAACAAAAAAACAAAAACACTGCTCTTGGTTCTTGGCTGCTGAATCACAGAGTAAATCTCCCAACAACAGCTCTGTCCTTCCTGCTTTGGATCTCATGCTGTCACACAACCAGGTTGGATAAGCCGCAGCTGACTATTCAGGACAAATGAATAGATTCACATGTGATTTAGAATAATACCATTGTGGTGCAGAATAATCCTCGCTGTAATAACAAAAGTCTGAATGCATTCTAGTGTTCACGCGATTCCGAATAATGCTATCGCATTACCCGAAAGTCTCACTGCATGCTTTCCTTTGGCTGCTCTCATTCTCAATATCGAACAAATTTCCCTGTGTTTGTACGTGTGGTGATGGGAAGCTGAGCCTGAAGCTGTTTTCCTTTCATTCAAAAGAAATTAAAAAAAAAACAGTGAACAAAATTGGTGTTTTCTACCAAATTGAATAGTTTGGCAAAAGCCATAAATGAGACACAAATTTTAGTCACACTAGTGAGTAGCGAGAGTGAACGCTCTCTAACGGCGTCTCCTTTCTTATAATCTGAACTCAAGGCAGCGTAATAAGTGTGCTTTTGAAGGGCGGTCTGTGGAACATTGCAGGTCTTTGAGTAATGAGCTAAATTAAGCCATTTATAAATTAAGGGTGACATAAGTGTAATTATTCAATTTTAGGTTTTCGAGAGGCCTCTGATGGAGCTGAATATGAAAAGGCTTCACACTGGCCGTGTGTGTAAAAAAATGTGACTCAGTCCTGTGCTTTTACTGAAGTGCTCTAAAGTGGTACTGAAGTGGGATGCTAGGATGAAAGAAGGCTGAGATGCAGCCAGGCGCCCAAAGCCTACAGTGACACTGCAGCTTTCATTATGTCACAGCATCTAATAATAGAAGCAGGAACTGTCATTGATATACGACAGGCGAATAATATGCAGAATAATCTTAACAACATAAAGATTTAGTCCAATTTCACACTAATTTAATTAACTTGCAATTATTTGGGGCAGAAGATGTTGCAAGAGGGCTACTGCAATCATCTGTCTGCAATTATCCTCCTTTGTACTCTACACTGCAGACAGTTTTATAATACTTAATCACGACGTCTTCCCCATTTAGATTCCTGGAAAATAACAATATTAAAAAGGTTTGCGTGGAGCCGAATGGGCGATGCTTAAAGTCTAGGACATATACTAAATATATAACCTCATCTCTGAGATCATACATACAAATCAGCAGCTTTATCAAATATACCAGAAAGAACATTCAGTTCAAAAGTTTGACATGGTGTAAATTTTTTGGCCCAAAGACTGTAAATAAAAAAGAGACATGGCCTATAAAACAATGAACTCCCATGTTAGAGCTTCAGTGTCAATATTTTTGGTCTCTCCCTCTCGATGAGATATGGGGACACTTTTTTGTTATGTATTTTATTTTTAAATGGGGGAATAATTTAACCAATGAGCACTAATGCTCTATAAAATAAAACTTTAAACTAGCAAATGAGACCATAAATGTATAAGTGTTTACTGAGGTTACTATTCAGGGGAGCCAGAGAGTCACCTTCTTATAGACTCTGGCACAATCAGTGGTCCAGCTATGACCATCCCCTTCCTGCTGGCCATGTAGTCTTTATTTTGGACTGTCAAACAATTAACAATAATTCCAACTTGAATGGCACTTGTCATGTGCATTTATATGTTAAGAAATTAACAAGTATTCCCAAGAAATTACCAATTTAAATCTTCTAAATACAAGGACATTTTGAAGGAATGTTAGTGGACTATTCTGGGCTGTTATCTGATGTTTGGGGTAATTTCAAAAGTGTGCATCACATATTTTAACCAGAAGAGCGACTTCAGCTCCGAGCTTTACAATCACAGCTGAGCAGACTAGCAGGGTGTTCCTGTAAAACTGCTAACTATCTTGTGCAATACATTTCTGGTAAGTTTTTAAAAAATGACCGCACTACTGTCGTTTTATCCAAGATTAATAACACATTGCATGCATTTATATGTATATACAAAGTAAAGCAGCCAGTATATTTCAACCAACATTGGGTTGATTCATCACTTAGCACGTGGGCCAAAGACCCAGAATCACTCTGGTGCTAATGTTACCTAAATAAATGACCTGTAGGCTTGTTACTCACAATCTGCACAACTAAAGGAGCAGCTTACTTACTGCATCATATCCCCTAATGCAAAGACAGTGACATTTATACATGATTGCAGAAGGTGAATGCAATGTATGGTAAAGGTAAGAACAAATTATATTCAAGAAAGAAAAATCCATGTGTTTTGAATACATGAAAATATTAGATGTGCCTTTAAAAGTAAAACAAAAACAAAAACAATCTCATTAAAACTGGATAAAAAAAATATTTTTTTCAGTGCGATGTGAATTTATTTGAACTTATTTGCTAAATAGATGATGGCTGCTGTTAAATGGAGAGAGCGACCCACCTTGCTGTTGCTGCGGACATCCAGCCGATGCCACCGCCTGTCTGCCACGTTCACGTTGCCTGGCAACTGTAGCACCACTGTGCCCGAGCCATGGTTGATTTTCAAGGTGGGGGTCCCGTCTATTAGCTCTAGACAGAGAAAGAAAACGAGAGGGATGATAAGTGAGGGGTGAGTTGAGAAATTAGTTTTCAGAGCTGCAATATGAGCACTTTTTAGCTCTGTTGACAACCAATCTGGTGCTGGTACTGAAGTCTCGAAAACAGCAGCAAAACCACTGTAACAGAATAATGTATGCCAAAGAATTAAGTGGTGTATGAAAAGTTATTTATTAAAGAATGCACCCCAACATAATGTACCAAATTGCCAATATTGTCTCTGTATATTTGCTCTAATGAGGATTATTGCACAGAGGCTGCTGTGATCTAGTTTTTTTCTTCATGGCAGTCAACAAACATCAGACAAAAGTTATTACATTCTATTTTCTGACTTACTCAAATGGGAAATTAAAAGTTAATGAAGTGGTTAAGACTGCCTGTGTGCTTTGCACCATGTGTAAGGAAATAAGAGACCGACCGGCATTGGCAATCCATCATCACGCATGCCGAACTTCAAAAGTTCATGCTGACACATAACAGTGAACACTAAACATCTGCTTATACTGTGGGACTGAAGGGACTTCTTAGTTCACGTAACAGCAGCTTGTACTTAGTCTGCATCAGAACTCTCACCCACAACTTTCTAAATGTCAATTTATTGACTCAGTGGAAAAAGGTCTCCGATATATCCACTCATTGAAGTATTTTTAGGCCTCTAATGGTTCCAACAGTGTTCAAAGAGTCTCCGGGGTCTGTTTTCATTAAGGCAAACGGATAAATCTGGGTCATTTCATCGTCGTTCCTATCACTTCTAATGTTCAAATGGCAACTTCTGGGTGAAGCAGTATCCAAAACTACATTTCCTGAAATGAGCACTAGAGGTTCATTTAAAAATACACTAAATTACATATATAACCAATCCAGTTGTAAAGTTTGAATTCACAGAGGTGTGGCTGTGTTGACTGGCAGGTAACTCCTGATACAGATAGCTATAGCTGGTGTCTTCAGCTAGACGTCCCCCCACCACCTAATATGAATCACTAAACTGTGTACAAGTTATATGGAACACTATAAAACTCGCTACACTTGGCTGATATGGTCACTTCTGGCTCTAAGAAATCCAGGATGTTGCTGATCATAACACATTTAAACCAGAGGGTGATGCCACCATAGCTACCTCCTTCTTTTATATACTGTCTCTGACATTGCTCGTGAAAAGTAGGTCAAGTTCGTGCATGACTCTTATGAAGCTGATCATCACATTAAGAACTTTTTTACTGTCCCATTAGTCCACAGTCTGCACTTCCACTTTCCAGCGGTGAGAAAAAAAACTTATGAAGAGTACGATCCAATTAGAAATTAGTGAAAAGAGTTACAAATGTGACTGCAGCGACTTCACAAAATATGTCGTAATTATGTTTTGAAATTATGGCTCATGTCAATACGGCAGCATGTCTCTGTTGGCTATATTCAATTAAAAATAATAATAGGCCGTCACAGTTCATGTCCAACAACTTATTATTCCCAGTTTTACCCACTGCCCCCCCCCCCTCTTAAGCTACAATCCCACACACCCACTGCCAGAATTAGGTATTTAATTTAAACTAAAGCATTTGTTCTTAGGGTTCATTTAGAATACTCCCATTTGGCTTTTCTCTGTTAACTCCGAGTCTGGCGAAGTGAAGTACTTTCAGTATATGTTAGAATTATAATTAAGACAGAAAAAACTCTGGCATCGATTTCACAACTTCTGCACTCTGACATTTGTCTTCACGCTGCAGTCAGTTGAAGTTTGAAGTCAAAAGAGGCTGACAAAAATCAAATTCCCTTCTTAGCGCTCTTCAATCCGCCGTGTGTGTCTGACTTCAGCTCTGCTTTCGTCATCCCTCTTGCTGCATTTCTTGCGATGTCAGTCTGCCTATCAGCACTCTTTCATCTCCTGTCTGTGTCTTTTACCTCCTGACTTGCTTCACTCTTTCATTAACTTCTTCACGGTAACTGACATTTTACATTGTGCCACTTTCAAATAAGTCACCATTGCTTTCTACTGACAGCTTTCACTTTTTACCGTGCTTTTGTGCAGCACTGTTTTTATTTTACTATTTTTTTATCAGCCTCACTTATGACATGTATTCAGATGTGATTATTTTAATGTTTGTGTGCAAAAACATTATCACTGAAAAGATGCCAGAGAGTTCAATGCAACCCATGCAGATTCTTCTTCTTCTTTTTAACACAAGTAATGTTTGTCAGAAAATGACATATATAATATTTAATAAGTGTAAATACATTTTACAAATGTTACAATACATTTTATATCTACATCTGGAGCCTGTGTCTGATTTTTTGTAACAAACCTAAGTTTCCCCTTAAATAAGTAGAGTTGTTAGCAATGATGATGAACAATGATAGACGATGGCTTTGTCGAGTAGCTACGTGTCTGACACCATGAATGTAGAGTGGCGGTGTGTTGATGACCATCCTTGCATTAATATAGTGAGACTCATTAACTGTAGTGTTAAAAATAAACTCTGGGAGTAACCAGATAGCTAATTGGTTACAGTGTATCTCACATGAGCACAAAAGCCAACAGCATTGGGAATTGAACTATTAGTTCTTGGTTAAATTCCTGGTATAGCAACTTTTAACATTTGCTTTTCACCTGCACCAACTTGCCACATTGTTACGGTGTAATGAAGAAAAAATAGTCAAAATAATTCAGAAGGATGTTTCCTCAGTTATCACTGCAAAGAGATTAAGAGCTAACGTTATTAGTTGTGTAATTTATTGAGAAATGTTAGACATTACATTTGACATTAGCATGTATGTTAGCTGTTAGGTCTGGGTACTCTTTACTGAAAACATGGTCCAAAATATACTAAAAAAAAAATCAAATGCAAACGGTTTTACCAATTTTACTGAGGAGATTCAATAGGTTTGTTTTTCAGTGTGTTGTCAGCTCCCTTCTAAAAGTGTCTTTTTCTTTCTACAATCTTTTCCTAAACCTAAAGAGTGCAAGAGGTGACCTGATTTCTCACTTTATATGGGTTCTGCACAGCATGTCCCTCACCAACGGAGAATGACTCCAGTTTGCGGTCAACATCTAAAGAATTGTACAGCTCATAAAAAGAAGTCCTGATCTACAGTTTCATCCCTGCTGAACACCATCATTACCAGACAGAGCTGCTTAAATAACAGTTTTTAAAAAGGAATTAATGAAGATGCATTTGGCTTATTGTATAGACTGCTTAATGAAAAAGATTGGAAAGCTGGCATTCAAAATAAAATACTGTATGCAACATTTGTCTTCCACATAATAGATGCAAATAAAGTAACCTATTTATTTTTGTAGTTTAGCTGTATTAACATTTCAGTCTATAGTACCTGTCTCCGTTAGGTAACAGTGGGTAAAACCAGCTGCTGAAAGTGAAACCTAAAGAAACACATACATACCAAGAGAGAGTCAAACTCTCCTTTTCAGCTTCCTGTAGGTCAGCCATAGCCACACTGGCCTTTCCACATGTTTAAAGTGGAACGCTTGCACAGGCCATTCTGAACGACCAATATCATTATTTATTTGGAGGACTTGTTGAAATTCGGTCCTAGTGAGCACATGATAAGCTGGTCTTTTATAATTGCTTTGCCAAGCCTGAGATGTGGCTTTGTGATGAGAGCCCCATTCTTCATTACGCTACCTCTCATATAGGAAAAATGAAAAACAAAGCCCTGGCACTTTCATTTTTCAAACCGCAGTCAGCTAGAGCAAGTTTGTTGCTGGCCTCTCTTTTCCTCTCAACTCCCATTCAATTTCCTGGACATTGAGCTGCAGGATGAGTAGATGCAACACTTCAGGAATGATCCAATTAATTTTAATACTTTGGCCAAGGCCAGACAATTCACCAAAAAGAACAGAGTAAATTCAATATATCAGTTCAAGTCAGAGCTTTCCTCCTTTGTTTAACTTGTACATTGTTCTCTTTAGGCTCAGCTCATTCCCCGACATTTAAGCTGCCTCATTCATTCCCTTCTCATTTACTGTCCTGCTTGGGACCCGTCAACTTTTTTTCTTCTTTATCTCGCATATCTAAGTCTTTCAATTGCAATTCTTCAGACTGCCCCATCCCCACCCTCAGGGGAATTTCTTCTTATCTTGAATCTATCTTTATGCCAATGCTCACCCCAAACCCTCCAACACTGCAGCATCCAGATAAGTCCAAGCTGGTAATACAGTGACAGCCAGAAAAGGGCACCTGCATAAACCTAACAGAAAAACAGTTTGTGAATGTATTAAAAAACAAACAAACACACACACACAGGTGGAGGCAGGTGCAGAAAAGTGCACACATAAACAGGCACCCAAAACAAGCTCAACTGCAGATTGACCAGCTGATTGTCCGCTGCTGCCAAGAAGCCTACCTGTCAGGACTGACGTGACATTCCCCAGGAGAATAAAACAAACTTCAGAGGTGTCAAGAAAGTAACGCAGGGAAGACGCAATACAAGGAAAGAAGGAATAAGAAGCATGGATGGGAGAGAAGCGGGAGGGGAAAGGAGGAGGAAAAACGCAAGGAGAGGACATGAGGAAAATGTAATGGTGGGAGGGGGGAAGTGACAGCAGAGACAAAGCTGGGAGAAAGTAGCAGATGAGAGAAGGTGACAACAGATGGGCAGAAAATGCAAACAAAACAACAGCGAGAAGAAAGTAATGAGCAGAGAAAACAGACAAAAAAATGCTTTAATCTTTTAAAATCATCACAGAAGTCAAGATTTTTATTTGATTGAATTATTCTCTGTTGTTTTTGTTAATGAGCAACTAACATCAATTAAAGCGTGTGTGAATACCTTTTGTTTATTTCGACCACAGAACGTCAGGATTATTCACCACTGATGTTTCCCAAAATCTGCTACAAACCTGGGCCACTGTCCTCACTTCCTGGATCGCTTTCACAATAAAAGCACCTCCACCTTGCATTCTTTTTGCTGCTAAAAAGGACATACTAGGACATGATCCCATATACTCAAAATGTCAGAAG